GGCCACGCTCCCACCTCCCAGACTTCAGAACCTCGGGAAACAGATTTCTTTATAAATCACCCGATCTGGGGTGCTCCGTTCTAGCAACATGCGACAGACAGATACAAAGACAGGGAATGGCAGGCTGAGTGGCTGGCAGCCTGAAGCACCCAGGGGTCCTCAGTTGGATTCAGGGTGATGGCCAGCCTGCTTCCCACCGGAGCACTCAGGGGCAGGCAGGGCTGTACTTGGGAGCCGGTGCAGCCACACAGACGCAGGGGAGGCACCTGGGGACAGCAAGCCACGCCCGCTCATGCAAACCACCCTCACGGTCCACACAAATGTCAGCCTGTGTCTCGCAGCATCTGGGCATTCTCTATTCCCTAACTGGCTGCCACAGGCTTAGAAATCCCAGAGCTGGCCTTGTTTAGGGGTTTGGTTTGGTTGTTAAGCCTTGGAGCGCTATCTCGCTGGGGCAGCAGCCAGTGGCCGGCTGTCACCGCGTGCTCCCGAGTCTTTGCGTCCCCTGTTCAGGAATCACTGCGACCCTGAGGGCTCTGGGAATGCTGGGCGTGGTGAAGGCCCCGCACCCTTGCCCTGGGGGCACCCACTGCAGCCAGGACCCCAGGAATACTGGAGGGACATAAAAGGAATTCCGAAGCACATCCTGCAAAGAATGTCTGGGAACCCAGCGAGGCCATGGACCGTGCTGTCTGCGTCTGCCGGCTTACGGAGGACGAGTCCCGGAGGCCAGGCTTGGCTCCCGCCGGAGCTGGCTCTCCTAACCGGCAGAGCTGGAGAGAAGCGAAGGAAACCGAGTCAGCTGCTGAGTTCGCTTTTGGGCGGGCTCCTGCGATCCAGGGCAGCCCGGGTCAGGCAGAGGGCCCTTAGTTCACCACGTCGTTGTAGTAATTGCGCCAGCCGCAGTTCACCGCTACAAACCCGGGCCTTTTCTCCACCCTGCAAAGGGAAGCGATGGAGCATTGTCAACGCCTTTGCTCTCAGCTGCTGACAGTGCCTCGGCGGGCACGGAGCGCGCACGGTCGCGCCCCCTGGTGGCGTCCTCTCGGGCCTGCACGCACAGCGAGGTCCGGCATCCCAGCCCTGGAGAGACCAGAGGACTCCGAGACACACGGGGTCTCAGCCCACCCGGCTTTGCATCCTTTTTTCTTTTCTTTTTTTTTTGTTTGTTTGTTTGTTATATAGTTATTTTTTTATTTAATAAATGTGAATTTACAAAGTGCAACTTTTGTATTGTTGTGGCTCCCCCCCCAACCTCCCTCCCTCCCGTGGCCCTCCCCACTCCCATTCCGCCCTTCATTGAGTTTCATTTTCAATTACCTTCACATACAGAAGATCAACTTAGTATACACTAAGCAAGGATTTAAACAGGCTGCACTCACACAATCGCACAAGGTATAGGGTAGTTCGACTAGTAGTGTTGTTTTTAGGTTTCATAGTAGAACAACATAAGGACAGAGATCCTACATGGGGAGCATGTACCAGTGACTCATGTTGTTGATTTAACAATTGGCACTCTTATTTATGACGTCAGCAATCACCGAGACTCTGCTATGAGCTGTCTAGGCTATGGAAGCCCCTTGAGTCACCAACTCTGAATTGTTTAGTCAAGGCCGTATCACAGTGGAGGCCTTCCTCCCTTCAGAGAAAGGCGCCTCTCTCCTTGATGGCCTATTCCTTCTGCTGGGGTCTTGTTCACCAGGATCTTTCATTTAGATTGTTTTTTTGCCACCGTGTCAGGCTTTCCATGCCTGTGAGACTCTCATGGACCTTTTAGCAGATCTGAATGTCCAAGGGTTGATTCTGAGGCCGGAGTGCTGCCGTCTATTGCCGGCTTTGCATTCCAACAAGATCTCCAGGGGATTCAGGTTCACCTGCAGGTTGGGGGCATTTTGCACTAGAACTCCGGGTTCAGAAGCCATCTCCTTTGATTCTAGCAAACAGAGTATTCCAGAACACACTGCAGTGGTTAACATGCTGCAGGTGCACTGAATGTGTGAATCATAATCTTTCTTGTTAAAAGACAGAAAACATGGACATAACAGTAGCTCTCTCCCGGTGCTCCGGGAAGGACTCAGATCTGTCTGTCATACATCTTAACATGGGCACACCCCTTCCTCTGACAAGTGAGATGACATATGCAAGCTTTGGGTAAAAGCTTGTCACACTCTGCAGCCTCTAAACCAAACATTCAGGGGGGTGTCTCTGCTGTCACGGCACGGATCAGCTGGGAGCAAGTCCACTCATCCCGGAGAACCACAGGCATGGCACCAGGATCCTATGGATACAAGATGCTAAAGTCCCTTAACTAAAACAGTGTGCTACTTGCTGGAAACCTTCACAGTCCTATACATTATTGGTTTATTTAGTAGAAAGAGAGCCTTCCCACCTGCAGGTCACTCTTCAAATACCCATAATAGCCAGAGCTCAGCCAGTCTGAAAGCAGGCGCCAGGAGTCCCTCTGGGTCTCAGGGGGCAACTTACCTGAGCCATCACCTGCTGTCTCCCAGCATGTTGCACTGACAGGAAGCTGGCAGTGGGAGTGGAGCCAGGCACTCCGAGATGGAAGCAGGCCTCCAGGGGTACTTTTGTGGCTGTGCAAATGCCTGCCACCTTTAATCATCTTAAATACAGGTGCAATTACTACATAGATAGTCATAATGCTATATTGGTTGGGAAATAAGGACAAGGAAGCAAGGTTTAAACATGTTCAGCACATATAAGCTATTTTTCTGAATGTTTCTGATCTGCACTTGGCTGAACTCTTGGTGCTCAAATCCATGGAAACTAAGGCCTGACTACATTCTGAAAAACCTTGGGACTCAGCCTCGCTTTGGAAGCTTCTGCATCCTTTTGCAAGAGTTTGTGTATTGCAGCTGCGTGAAGCTGTCTGGGAAGTAACATGGAACTTGGGTTATACTCCATGGGATGGTGCGCCTCCATACTTGGACCCATGCCAAGTACAATGCCGAGACAGGAGTAAGCACCAGGACCCACAGGTGCACAGCGGCTTCTGCAGAACCAGAGTTGGTACTTCTAACAAACTTCATAGAAATGAACTATTTCAGTGGCCAGCAAAGCCCTACTCAGACTGCTTGGTCAGCCAGCTGTGGTCAGTCTGCGGACATAGGCCTTCAGTGTAGGGGCCATGTCTCTGGTCCCCACGTTGTGGTCCACACCCTGGAGTGGATGTAAGGGCCAGGTGGTGGAGATGCCAGCACCTTCAAGGGCCTTGGGACTTCAGAATTTAGAGCTCTGTGTGTTTTAAAGGTTCATTTAACTTATAGGGGTTGGTGTTGTGGCGTGGTACATTCAGCCTCCACCTGCAGTGCTGGCATCCCGTATGTGCGCTGGTTTGAGTCCTGGCTGCTTCTCTTCCAATCCAGCTCTTTGCTGTGGCCTGGAAAGCAGCAGAAGATGGCCCAAGTCCTTGGGCCCCTGCACCCACGTGGGAGACTGGGAAGAAGCTCCTGGTTCCAGGCTCCTGACTTCAGACCGGCCCAGCTCCAGCTGTTGCAGTCATCTGAGCAGTGAATCAATGCATGGAAGACCTCTCTCTCTGTGTCTCCCTCTCTCTGTCTGTAACTCTGCCTCTCAAATAGATTTATTTACTTATTTGAAAGGCGTAGTATTTCACTCAACTGTACCTCCCTGAACTAGTTTTAAGATTTATTTATTTATTTGAAAGTCAGAGTTATACACACACACACACACACACACAGAGAGAGAGAGAGAGAGAGAGAGAGAGAGATCTTCCATATGTTCCTATGGCTACAATGATCAGAGCTGGACCAGGCCAAAGCCAGGATCCAGGAACTTCATCCAGGTCTCCCACATGGGTGGCAGGGGCCAAGCACTTGGGCCATCCTCTGCTGCTTTTCCCAGGCCATTAGCAGGGAGCTGGATCAGAAGTGGAACAGCTGGGACTCGAACCGGCATCCAAAGGAGATGCTGGCATCGCAGTTGGCAGCTCTGTGCACCACATCACAACACCAGCCCCTTGAGCTACTCTTGTTAGACAGATCTGAACATCTGCCTGCCCTGCACTGGAGGTCCCCACTAGGAAAACTATAGCTTTCAGAAATACACGTCTGTGGCGAAGAAGCTGAACTGTGGAAAGGAGCTGTCACTTCTAACTCAGAGCCTGGGCCGCCGTCACTGTCTCTGTCCACCTGAGGTTCTTCCCAGGACTGACTCCCAAGGGCCCAGCAGCCCCGGGGAGGCCAGGTGGGTTAGCCCCAGGGGAGGGAAATGAGGGGCAATGGTAGAAAGAGGGTTCTGGGAGCGGCTCCCGACCCAGACCTGGGGGTCCATTCTGCACCAGGTCCCAGTGAGCCCTCAGGACTGGCCGGGTGTCCGCAGCAGCAGAAGGCACAGGGCACGGTGCTGAGCAAAGCTGGCAGCAGCCGTCCCTGTCTCCAGCAGCTCGGCGGGACCTTGGGAGCCGCACAGCTGTGCACAATGACAGCCTCAGCACGCGCGCGCACAGCCCCAGACCCAGCGCCCGTGCCGGTGGGTGAGGCAGCCAGCGCGAGACCCTCGGCGCTCCTCCCCAGGGCTCATCTGTCTTCCACCTCCCCACAGCTTCACCTCCTCCTTGACTGCTGGGCCCAGACCTTCAGTTTCAATTTCAAAAGCAGCTGGGGCCTCACATGGCCATGATCTAAGGATTCCAGTTGGGCATGTGGAAAATTGAGTCAAGATCGAAGAATTGGGGGCTGGCGCTGTGGCGTAGTGGGTAAAGCTGCTGCCCGCAGTGCCAACATCCCATGTGGGCGCCGGTTCGAGTCCCGGCTGCTCCTCTTCTAATCCAGCTCTCTGCTGTGGCCTGGGAAAGCAGCAGAAGGTGGCCCAAGAACTTGGACCTCTGCACCCATGTGGGAGACCCGTTAGAAGCTCTTGGCTTCAGCCAGGGCTGCTCCAGGCTGAAGAGCCTGGGGGAACCTGGGAGTTGCAGACCCTCAGATGGCCCCTGAAGCTCCAGACGACCCCTCGCCTGCTGCTGCTGCTCCTGCAGCGTCCCCTCCTGTCCCAAAACGCACACCTGACTGTGCCAAGCGTTATGTCCTGGCCGGGATCAGCACTCCTCTGGGCCCCAGGCAGGCTGTGCCAGCACACTGCAGGCCACAGGGCTGGAGACAATAGCTTAGGACCCTTGCCAGAGTCCCTCAGGGGCTGCCCAGCCCGGGCAGGGTCAGTGGCCACTTCCCTAGTTTGCAGGTGTGATGCATCTTGGCCTTGAACTTCACCTGAGCATCATGTCGTGGGTTTTCTGAAAGCACGGGCCCACCAGGAATGTGATATGACGACAGTGTTTGCAGGACTTAGTACCTTCTAGGAAGCACAATCCTAGCTAACCCATCAGAGCCGGCCAAAATCCATGGCCGTGCCACACTACGACAGGCAACCAGGGAAGCCGGGAAGCAGACCGTTCACCTCCTGAGTACCTGCGCCAGTTGCTATGCCAGGAACAGGTGGCAGCACCGGAGTCACAGCCAACGCCGCTCCCAGGTCATCTACACGGACATGCTGGTGCCAGGATTAGAGTAACTGTCCACCTTACTATCCAGCGCCTGCTCCAGGAAGCAGGACGCCTGCCCGCCGAGTCTGTCCCTCATCCCCTGTCACCCGTTCAGAGGAGGCGCGCCCCTGACTCACGGATAGGCCGGCATCTGCTTCCTGCTGGTGCCCAGCCAGGCCACCCGCCTCTGCAGGGCATGCGGCCGGATCGTGGCCAAGGTCGGTACTCACTCGTACGTCCAGCACAGGTTCATCAGCTCGTACATCTCTCTCGGACACCCTGGAGGGCACCCCATCCGCTCTCCTTTCTCCAGCATGGCGGTGACTTCGCTGCCTTTCATCCCCTACAGCATGCAAAGCACACGTGAGCTGTCAGAACACAGGGGCCAGCGAAACGGAAGCGATCGCCTCCCCCACCCTCCGCCGACCCACAGGCACGCAGGCTGTAAAAGTCTGGGGAGACCCAGACTCCACGACGTCGGTGATTTCTGGGTCTTTGTGAAGGTCATCTGGGCTGACCTGGTGGGGAGGGTGGTTACCAAGAAGGGCTCACCCACCCGGTACGGCTTCTGCCCGTAGGAAAAGGCCTCCCACATCAGCACGCCGAAGCTCCACACGTCGCTCTTGCTGGAGAACTTGTAGTAGTTGATGCACTCGGGCGCGTACCACTTCACGGGCCACTTCCCGTGTGTCTGCGCCTGGAAGCCGAGCACACGGAGATGCCCTGTTAGCAATGACCTTGTGTACATCTGTGTGCTGAGCAGTTGCCTCTGACAGCCCGAGTGTGGCGGCAACGCGGGTGACCGTCGGCAGGGTAGACAGACGGCACGTGCTGTGCAGCGACCAGGGGGCTGTCATTCAGCCTCAGAGAGGAAGGGGACCCTGACCCTGCTGTCCCACGTCAGAGTAACTGGGTTGGATTCCTGGCTCCATTTCCTGACTCCAGCATCCTGCTAATGGGCACCCTGGGGGGCAGCAGACAATGGTGCAAGTACTTGGGTCCCCGCCACTCATGTGGGAGACGCAGACTGAGTTCCAGCCCCTGGCTTCAGCCTGGCCCAGTTCCGGGCATTGTGGGCATCTGGGGGGTGAAGTAGCAGAGGAGAGTGCGTTCTCTCTCTCTCTCTGCCTCTGTCTCTCTTTCTCTCTCTGCATCTCAAATAAAGAGATTTCAAACAAATCTTTAAGCACTCCTTTTAAGATTTACACGCACACCTGTAAGATTCGGGCAGGATTGCTGGCACTGCTTGCAGCTTTTGGTCTTTGGCTCTCTCCTCTTTGGCCACATACAACTTTGCAGAGTACACGGGTGGCGGAGAGAGTCAAGCCCAAGAATCTACTTCATGGATGTTGCCCAAGAAACACCTGGGTGTTCCCAGCGATATTTAACTGCTGTGAATTTGTCTGTATTGTCAAGCCAATGCCAACTATTTGAATAAGACTTACATCATTTTAGAATGCCTTAAATTTTCTAATTTCCTAATTTAATACAGCCAGCGGGGGCTGGCGCTGTGGCACAGTGGGTTAATCCTCCGCCTGTGGTGCCAGCATCCCATATGGTGCTGGTTCTAGTCCTGGCTGCTCCACTTCCGATCCAGCTCTCTGCTATGGCCTGGGAAAGCAGTAGAAGATGGCCCAAGTCCTTGGGCCCCTGCACTCACGTGGGAGATCCAGAAGAAGCTCTTGGCTCTTGGCTTTGGCTCTGCTCAGCTCTGACCATTTCGGCCATTTGGGGAGTGAACCAGCAGATGGAAGACCTCTCTCTCTGTCTGTCTCTCTCTCTCTGACTCTCTCTCTCTCTCTCTCTCTCTCTGGCTCTGACTCTCAGAGAAATATATAATAATAAATTTTTTTAAAGCCAGTGGTAATAAAGAGATCAAAACCGTGCACGACAGAATGCCTCACTTAGGATTTGGGATTTGGGGAGGGGACACTGTTGAGTGCTGTCACCTCTTGCAAGGAAAAGCAGAGTTACAGAGAGAGAGAGAGACGAAGGGAGATATAGAAGGAGAGATCTTCCATTCACTGGCTCACAATCCAAGTGGCACCGACAGCCTAGACTGGGCTGGGCTGAACCCAGGAGCCAGGAGCGTCTCCCTGGTCTCCCACGTGAGTGCAGGGTCCAAGCACTTAGACCAGCCTCCACTGCTTTCCCAGGTGCATCAGCAGGGAACTAGAATGAAAGGGGAGCAGCCAGGACTTGACCTGGTGCCCAGATAGGATGCCAGCATCCCGGGCATCAGTTTAACCCACTGTGCCACAACACCGCCCACCCCCCCAGCATGCCTGTATTTTTTAAACAACAGAATCAAAGCTTAATAAAAATATTTTCTATACTTTTTGTAACCTGCTGAAATTACTTCTTGAAAGCTTTCCATGAGAAGATAAAGAAACACACATTTGTCTTTGAGTTTCCACAAGTTGCCGCTCTGAGCATCGGCGGCCTTGTCCCTACCTTGTAGTAGTTTTCGTCTGCACGCAGAGCTTTGGAAAGTCCAAAGTCGCTGATCTTGGCGTAATGTTGAGTGACCAGCAGTACATTCCTTGCAGCCAGATCTCTGTGCACAAAATTGCACTCTTCCAAGTATTTCATCCCCATGGAAACCTGATGAACCAGCTCTATGATGTTCTTGTCCTTGACATGCCTGCGAGTCACAGGGGTACCATTAGCCACAGCGGAAGCGCCCACTTCAGAACAAGCAAACGGACAATGAATCCCCCCACCCCCGGGCTGTTCTTCAGTAACAACACTGGCGAGTAGCAACAGGTAATTTGTCAGTGTACAGCAGTGCAAGACTGGACACTGGCCTGCTGTTTAAAGGTTTGGTTGCCATGGCTTGCTTTGGATGACAAGCAGTGGAGCGGTCAGACCTGGCTCACAGATGGCCCAGTGTCAGTTGAAACCGTTGCTCCAATACCGGGCAGGTAACCAAACCAACCCGTCTCTGTTGTGTACCCATCTGGGAGAAGTAACAGCTCTCCGTGTCACAGAGACCGAGGGGACACTCCGGGTACAGCAGGTCTCTGGTGCAGAGAGCAGGCTGGGTTCTGGTGGCTGACTGTGCCCTACTCCAAGTGTTGGCGACAGGATCAGTCACTGTACCTTATACTCCCAGAGGGGCTCACTCTCGGGCACTTGGCGGTCCGCCAAGCCACACAGCTGGCTAACACTAATCCAAACATCCCAGATCTGAAACGTTTCAAACACTGAGATTTTTGAGCACATTCTAAGTGGAAAACTTGATAGTGGGAAACTGCTTCGGCCACAGAATTATTAAAAGTATTGTGGCAATGAATTTGGGCCATGTGTATGAAGTGTGTATGAAACACAAATGAAGTTCATGTTTAGACTGTGTCTCATTCTCAAGATATTTCATTATGTATATGCAAATATTCCTAAATCCAGAAAAAAAAATCCAAATTCATAAACATACCTGGTACCAAGTATTCTGGCTAGCAGATACTTAACCTGTATGAAACATAACCATTACCCCTGAGAAAATGTTTCTTGAAAAAAAATGTATTTTAGTGCCAGCATTGTGGTGTGGCAAGTTAAGCCACCACTTGCTAGCAGCTTTGGCCTGTGGATGTGAGCATTTGGGGAGTGAGCCAATAGATGGAAGATTTCTCTCTGTCTCTCTCCGCCTTTCAAATAAATAGACAAATCTTTGGGGGAAAAAAGTGTGTTCTGCCTAGGGAGGAGAGACTTTTTTTTCCTTGAGGCTGATTCTTTCATGGAATCAGTACACAGACCTTCAAAAAAGTTGATGGAAAAAACTGAATTAAAAGATAAATTTATTTTGATACAACAAAATTTGAAATTCACAAATAGTTTTCTCATAATGCATATTTCCCAGAAACTTTTAAAAAATATTTACTTATTTGAAAGGCAAAGTGACAGAGACAAACAGGCATACACACACACACACACACAGACATACAAAGAGAGAGAGAGTGCTTCCATCCACTGGTTCACTCCCCAAACGGTTGCAAGGGCCTGGGCTGGGCCATGCCAAAGCCAGAAGCCTGGAGCTCCAACTGAGTTTCCTTCTAGGGTGGCAGGGGCCCCAGCACCTGGACCATCGTCTACTGCTTTCCCAGGCCATTAGCAGGGAGCTGGGTTAGAAATGAGCAGCTGGGACTGGAATCAGCGCTTTGATATGCGATGCTGGCATTGCAAGCAGTGCCTCAAGCCACTGCACCACAATGCTGGCCCCATACATGTTTTCAAATATTATTTTCGTTTTTAAAATTTAGTCATTTGAAGAGAGAGAGAGACAGAGAGAGAGGGAGCAAGCGAGTGCCCCATTGGCTTGCCCATTCCCCCAAATATCCATAGTGGCCAGGGCTGCGCCCAGCTAAAGGTCTCCCATGTCGGTGGCAGGATCTCAGCCACTTTAGATACCACCACCTGCTGCCTTACGGGTGTACATTAGCCGCAAGCCGCGGTCAGGAGACCCCGACACTCTGCTGTGGGACGTCTTAGCCCGTAAAGGAAGAGAATGAGGATTCCGCTGCTGCATTGGAGCTTTCCCCGAGCGCCAAGAGTGAAAGAGCTGTGTCCAGAGACTCCTCTCGCGCCTCCCCTTCCCTGAGCGAGGACCAGCCTGGGCAGGCGTCCCGTGGAAGTGCCGTTGGCACACAGGTGGGAAGGTGGGTCCCCCCGTCCCCGGCCATCACAGCACAGCCTCTGTGCCTTCCGGGGAACCCAGTGATACCTGTTCTGTTGCAAGTACTTATTGAGAGGCCCGAGCTCCGCCATCTCCATCACCAGCATCCACGACTCGGCTTCGCAGATCCCGATCATGCGCACGATGTAGGGGTTGTCCAGCTGCTGCATGACGTTGGCTTCCGACAGCAGCTCGTCTTTCAGGGCCGGGTCGTTGGCCTCGTTCTTCAGTATTTTCACAGCCACCGTCTTCACCACCCTGCAAGAGAAATCGCAACATACAAAGCTTGCCAGGGGCCGGCGCTGTGGCGCAGTGGGTTAACGCCCTGGCCTGAGGCACCGGCATCCCATGTGGGCGCCGGTTTGAGTCCCGGCTGCTCCACTTCCGATCCAGCTCTCTGCTGTGGCCTGGGAAAGCAGTGGAGGATGGCCCAAGTCCTTGGGCCCCTGCACCCATAAGGGAGACCCGGAAGAAGCTCCCGGCTCCTGACTTCTGATTGGCGCAGCTCCGGCCCTTGCAGCCAACTGGGGAGTGAACCAGTGGATGGAAGACCTCTCTCTCTCTCTCTCTTTTTACCTTTCCTCTCTCTGTGTAACTCTGACTTTCAAATGAACAAGTAAATCTTTAAAAAAAAAAACACTTGGAAGACTGGCTCACTTCTACCTACCGGTTGAGACCTTCTTCCCTGAAAGCCTTGGGACCACAAGTGTTTTCCCATTTCAGGATATTTGTACACACATAATGAGCTATCATGGTATTGGGACCTGAGTCTACACACAAATTCATGTATGTTGCACAGATACTGTTTACATACAGCCTACACTGAATTTTACATGTACAAGCGTACTTCCAAAAAGTGTGTAGGAAGTGATATTACAAGTGGACTATGGTGCAAAAAAAAAAAAAAAAAAAAAAAAAACTGAAATCCATGCATACAAAGGGTCTTCACAAAGATCATGGGAAATGTGCAATATGAAAAAGCTGCGCAATGATTTCAAAATTTTTGTGCCAGAATAAACTTATCTTTTAATTCCATTTTCCAGTGGATTTTCTAAAGTGTCTTTTCATTTTTAGTGCTCCTGCATTTCGACCGCGCCCTGTCACACGAGGCCAGGAGTGGCATTTTTCACTTGTGGCACCGTGTCCGTGCTCAAAACCGTCCAGATCCTGGAGCATTTCCTATTTCAGGCTTTCTGATTCGGGATGCTCACCCTGTAACGATCTTTTGTGAGGCATCACTCCCAGCAGAGAGAGTTAGGGAAATGTGGGCCACAGAACAGGAACGAAACAATGGGTAACGAATAGCTTGGCTTCCAACCACACTCTCCAGCTCATACGCAAGGAGATTAGCATGCCATTAAAATAATTTAATCTTTAATCACAAGTGCCTGGGTTCTTCAAGTCCTGATTCCAGCTTCTGCTAACACAGGGAAGCAACGGGTGACGGCTCAGCACTTTGGTGTCTTCTACCCACGTGGGACACTGAGTGAATTCTAAGCTCCTGGCTTCACTCTGTCTGTGACGTGGCAATTGCAGACTTTGGGGTGTGAACCAGCAGGTGGAAGACCGATCGATCGATCGATCGATCTATCTATCTATCTAATCTCTCTCTTTCTATCTCTCTATCTCTATCTCTATCTCTATCTCCCTGCCTCTCAAACAAAATAATAGATAAAAATGAACAATAAAAGTGGGAAAAAGTGCTGAAGAATGCCCCAAACAAGCAAAACTGCAAAGTATAGCATATTTAATATGCTGCAATAATAGTTTTTGAATAAGCCTTACCAACCAGGACATACTTGATTTCTGTAACGTTTCTTTACTGACTATCTCAGATTATGTGCATGAGCCTGAATATAAAATTTCTTTAATGTAAGTTGAAAATGAATTTCTGGGTGTGGCATCTATAAGCATATTGTGAAAACTCATTTAAGAAACACTTTGTTAATTTTAAGCAAGTCTCAATGATTTTGTAAAGTCTTTTTTAAATTGACCTTTAATTTTTTTAACGTTTATTTTAAAATTTATTTTCATCTATCTGAAAGGCAGAGTAGAAGCAGGAGAAAGAGAGAGAGAAAGACAGAGTGAGCCACTTCCACCTGATTCACTCCCCAAATGCCTGCAGCAGCCAGGAGCCTGGAGCCTGGAGCTTCATCTAGGTCTTCTATATGGGTGTCAGGGGCCCAAGCACTTGAACTATCATCTGCTGCCCCCCATCCACCCAGGATAAATTAGCTTGGAGCTGGATTGGAAACGAAGGAGCCAGGATTCAAACTGACACTCCAGCATGGGATGTTGGTGTCCCAGGTAGCGGCTTAATCCGCTATGGCACAAAAAGTTTGCAAAAAACAGATTATTCTTCATCCTCACATAAAGACACCACATCGGTCATGTTAACTGTTGGGAACACTCTCAGGGAGTGAGCTGTAGAAGGGAACTTAACAATGCACGGCTTGCAAAACTGCTCCTCTCTGCACGATGATTCTTACCGACGTGGAAAGAAGGTTCACTGCTTTTGTGGAATTCTCAAATTGGAGACCGAAAATAGCACTATCCAAGCTAAGAGGAAAACTAAGAGCAGAGCAGAGTAGGTCTGACACACACACAAGTTCAATGATGTTGCTAAGGGAACACACCCTCAGCACCCCAGCAGCCTCCCAGGCCCACTCCTGAGTCCATGGAAGTAACAGTCCAGACCCCTTATTGTTTCTTTCTTTCTTTCTTTCTTTTTTTATTTTTTGACAGACAGAGTGGACAGTGAGAGAGAGAGAGACAGAGAGAAAGGTCTTCCTTTGCCGTTGGTTCACCCTCTAATGGCTGCCACGCTGCGGCCAGCGCACTGCACTGATCCGAAGCCAGGAGTCAGGTGCTTCTCCTGGTCTCCCATGCGGGTGCAGGGCCCAAGCACTTCGGCCATCCTCCACTGCACTCCCGGGCCACAGCAGAGAGCTGGCCTGGAAGAGGGGCAACCGGGACAGAATCCGGCACCCCGACCGGGACTAGAACCCAGTGTGCTGGCGCCGCAAGGCAGAGGATTAGCCTAGTGAGCCGTGGGGCCGGCTTCCATATTGTTTTAGTTTTCATGTCTCAGCGGCGTCTCCTCCACTGGGAGCCAATCTGGCGTCTGGTGTGAAATGGGGGTAACACGGAGAAGTAAAAAAGACCTCTTGATTCTTACACAGACTTAAGGGAGAAACCCCATTCACAAATCTCCTGGAAACATGACTGAGGAAGAAAATTTCCCAACTCATTCGATAGGGCCAGCATCGCTCTGATGCCGCTGCCAGATAAAGAAATCCTAAGAAAACAATGGACGGATGTGCTGCATGAACTTAGATGCAGAAGTTCTAGAGATAACAGTAAATTCAGGACTTATGAGAAGGATTTAATGCATTGTGAACAAGGAGGGCTTATTCCAGGACTGCAAGATGGGAGTCGTTTTGGAAATCAACCCCTGTCATTCACCATGGAGACGCTACAAAGGAGAGTAAGCTTACGGTCAGTTCCATGGAGGAGATGCTAAAGTATTTCAGAAAAGCAAGATGGAAGGAAACTTCTTTAGTCCGGCAAAGATAACTAACACCATATCTAACGGTGAAACACTGACAGCTCTCCCCCCGATGCTGTTGTTCCGGTTCCCAGCTAGTCTGGCAAGGCAAGGAAAAACGCAAATAAGTGTAAGGATAGAACAGGATGGAAAAAAATCTTCCATCATTCACAGGTGATGCATTTTGGATCACAGCATGCCTTAACAATCTACTAGAAATAACAAGAGAGGAACAAGTACATTTAGTGACACTGCTGGGTTGTCAAGCTCACCTGTCAGGAGTGGAGAACTTTTCCCCGCCGTTTGGGTATTTATAACATCATTCATGGGTCAGACAATCATCTACTTAAAAACTAACCTGCTACAGATTTATTGAACGTGGTGTCCTGCCTGCGGCTACCATGACAAAACCAAAGCACACAATCCCTGGGCCTTCTGTGGCCTATGGGCCAGACCCTGTTGACCTCTGCCCTAAGTGATAAAATTAGCCATATTTCTACACCCAGCCAGTGTTAGAGATCAGGAAGTAAAAGAGGAAACAACACATGCTAAGATCAAAAGTGCCAAATACCCAAGAATGACTCTAAGGGTTGCTAAGACGTCTGCGCTGTGCACGGAGCAGCTCCGTGAAAGAAGCAGAGAGAAGCCGAGGGCCCACGTCAAAGCGGGGGTGGCCTACGCTGGTGCGTGCAGAGGTTCAGTGCAGGAAAGACGTCATTCCGCCCCAAACTGATCTAGACACCTGCGCTGTCCCCAAACCCTCATACTGAAATTACTTATCCATAGTCACACCTCCCTTCATTCACATATTTAAGCAAATTAATGCAAATATCACAAACTTTCACAAAAGAGAGAATTTATGTTTTGATCCTGGGAAGTTTGCTTTCATTGTACAAAGTGATGCATGTAGAACAAGCACCATGGCCAACCTAGAGCGTGTGTGCAGACGTGGTATACACGTGTGTGTGTTTGTGTGTGTGTCTGAAAGACACAGCCTGCAGCAATAGGCTTTAGGACTAATTTTGTCAATGGTATACTGACCTGGCAGGGGAGACACCATGATCAGGCAGGTGTTCCCCCAGGGGGAGGCCTGGCCATTGCACTGCGGCTGTGCTGATCCCTGTGATTTCCCCAAGTGTGGGAAACTCAAGTGCAGAATTTGTGGTAGTGGGGGACTGTGTGCGTGCTCTCCCCTATTTTTTTTCTTTCTAGTTAAGAGTAAATATTCCAAGCTTTTTTAAGGTGCATCAAAAGTTCTCAAAAAAAAATTTGTCAATGGTTTTGAATCTCGAACTGTGTGAGTATTCCACTTACAAAAAAATCTTTCACAAAAACCTCTTAGATTGAAAACGACATGAAAGAAACCCAAGCACATTCCTGCTAGGAGGAGTTCAAAGAAAGGCTTTGTCTCAAGGGACTTCAGAAGTCAATCCTGCTACTGAAAATTCTAAGTGGGTTCCCTTTTGAGCACCAAATGAAATACACAGGTAGTTTAGGAAATTAGCAATTTTAGCTGTGTCATATGTACTGATATTCGAAATGATAAGATAAAGCAAATGCATAATTATTCCAATGATACTCGGAATCCAAAATGTACTGGGTGAGAAAAAAAAGAGATACAATTAAAAATCAAAGGAAGTAAGTGAAAACGCTGCATTGTTATCAATGAGTTATTTCATTTCAGTTAAATAGTGCATACCTGCATGTGTGTGCCTAGAAAGATAAGAACACCTATACACTAAAGTTAGTTAGCAGTGGCGTTTGGGTGCCACAAATACGGTGTTTTCACATTATTTACACTTCTGCTTATTTCTATTTCCTAATTCTCTGTAATGCATAAGTGCTACATTGAAACCAAAATAGAAACACTACAGTTCATTTCCATAATGATGCTCCCATTATAATCATCCCAGAAATGAACAAACGTGGCCACATTCGTGGAAAGGCCACGGGCCTGCTATGCTAAGTTCCGTGTTTGGGATTGACCTCACAGAAGAGCTGTCTCCTTGGAGGCTCCCAGAATGGAGTTTGGATGAGGCCAGCAGTGGGGGCAGGAGCTGGGAGACTTACTTCTTTTTTTTTTTTTTTTTTTTGATAGGCAGAGTGGGCAGTGAGAGAGAGAGAGAGAGAGAGAAAGGTCTTCCTTTTGCCATTGGTTCACCCTCCAATGGCCACCGCAGCCGGTGTGCTGCGGTCAGCACACCGCGATGATCCGAAGCCAGGAACCAGCTGCTTCTCCTAGTCTCCCATGGGGTGCAGGGCCCAAGCACTTGGGCCATCCTCCACTGCACTCCTTGGCCACAGCACTCCTTGGCCACAGCAGAGAGCTGGCCTGGAAGAGGGGCCACCGGGACGGAATCCGGTGCCCTGACCGGGACTAGAACCTGGTGTGCCAGCGCCACAGGTGAAGGATTAGCCTATTGAGCCGCGACGCCAGCCAAGACTTACTTCTTCATTTGGTAGTAGCCCTTCTTCACGGTCCCAAAGTTGCCGGAGCCCAGTTCTTTGTCTTCCAGGGTCAGCAGCTTCCGGTCCAAGTAGACCTCTTTGGGCCTGATCTCCTCGGGGTCAGCATAGGGGCTCTCGTATACTTCTGTGTCCATGGGCATGGCTTCCCTCTGGGGGCCTGCAGCACAGTCAAGAAGCACACCCCCACCCCAGGGCTGGATCATTCTTGAGAGTTTGACCGAGCACAGCTCTTAACCCACCTGTGCTCACAACACACCGTCTCTGGGCACTGAGAACTCAAGGCGGGGGTGGGGGCATCAGCAAAGGGTCGTCCACACCAGAGCCAGCCTTGGAGAGGCCCTGCCCAATGGCTGGGGTAGCTTCAGACCTGGTCTGAGAATTCTCTGATGCTCCTGCCACTGAGATGTGCAGCTGGCGTTAGCCACCCCCCACCCGCCCCCTTGCCACAGTGGCTTTCGTATGCATGTCAGCGGAAGTGAACATGCGACTTCCCGGGGCGGCTAGGACAGGCCGTGTGACAAGCAGCACTACGACCCCGTGCCCTGCAGTGCCATGGGCTTTTGTTTCTTTTCGGCCACCTCCCTCTGGAAGCCTTCAGACACCCACCAGTGGTGGGGAAGCTCCCGCAGGCCCACTTGCAGAGACCAACCACAGAGGGCCTGAGACTCGGTGGAGACAGAAGAAGCCAGCAGTCGCCTCCACCCCTGCTGGCCCAGCTCCTGCCACCAGCTGGTGGTAACAGACCCTGAACAACAACTGCCCAGCTGAGCCTTGCCCAGTTTCTGGCCTACAGGACAGAACTAATTAAAGAACTGGCATTCTTTTAAGTCAATAAATAGCAATCAATAGATCCAGCTAATGAATTAAAAATTGGGCCTCCTACAGACCCAAGATCTCATTTCTGAGAACCAGTCAGGGAAGGGGTGTGGAGTTGCTCCTGGGTGTGTTATTTTCCAAACTGTATCCTCTCATGGAATTCCCTAAGCACATGGAGAATTCTAGAAACTTCACCCATCGCTGCACCTTTGGCAGACACTGACCGGTGCACACAAGCCTCTTACCAAGAACATGACCTCCTGCAGGTAGAAACTTTAGGGTAAGCAGGAGTTACAAGGGATTCTGCAGCAGCAGCCTGGAGGTGTTCAACATGACCCACTGATTGTGGGGAGGCCTGGGAAAGGACCATTTCACCCTATAGAACACGCGACACTTGCTGCCAGCCACTGGGCGACAGGGCTGCTCACCACCAACCATCACTATACCAGCTGCAGTTACACACAAGGCGGGTGGGTTCCTGCACCCAGTCTGCAGGCTTCAAGGGACCCGGCGCCTACACTATGAAGAAGCGGTAAATAAAGGCGTCTCTCACCTCTGTCTGGCTCGTAGGGGTTGTACGAGATGCTGCTGTCCGGCCGGCTCCCTTGGGGCGGGGGTGGCTGCAGTACACACAGGACAAATAGGTCACTTTCTACCATCCACACACTGTTGAGTCGATCTGTATATTTTTATTTTAACTACCAACTCATCACATTGCAACATATGCAGGGAAGCCAATGAGCTAGCTAGGAAGACAGACACGGAAAGAACAGCGTTGACCTCATTCTTCTGGCAACTGTTTGGATTCTGGGAGCACGGGATCAAGCGTGTGCTGCTGAACCCCGGGGCTCGGCCAGGGCGTGCAGGGGGACGCGAGAACTCTCTGCTGAGCCAGAGTCCCCGCCCCTCCTTACTGCCGTTCACCTATTTCCTATTTCCACCTGCCGAAAGTGCAGGAGGATTTCTCTCTCTTGTTCCCTCCGGAGCTCTGCTCCTCCTCCAACTCTTCCCCTTTGGTTTTCATCTTATGTGGACATACGCTTTATGTCATGTGAAAATAACTCCCAACAGAAAAGTAAACAGCCCCTAGCGGCTCCCACTTACTGCCCCACTGCACGGGGACAGGTATGCATCCCAGTCCCCGGCTGCATCCTCATCTGGCAACATTGCGATCTGGCAACATGTGGGTCCATGCCAGAGGTGGCACAGGCCAGGGAGCTGAAGAGGAAGGCTGGCTGCCATGCACCCGGGACTACAGGGAGCCACTACTGCGGCTACTGCTGAGTACCGCAGTCACCGGCCCTGTGAGATGGGGAATCCTCTTTGTCCCCTCACGGAAGGTAACTCTTCCCGGTACCCACTGCAAGTACCCAGAGCTCATCTGAAGCAAGGCTTTGCTCGCTGTTATTAAGGGCGAGCTCCCCTTTTATTGAATTGGTCATTTCTCAAATAAATTAGCAATCTGCATCATGAAATGACTGGGGAACAAAGCCTGCTCCTTGTATTCCTAGGAAGTTTCCTTTTGAAAATCCTTATCTCAGGGCCAGTGCTGTGGTGTAGCGGGTAAAGCCGCCGCCTGCAGCACTGGCATCCCATATAGGCGCCGGTTTGAGTCCCAGCTGCTCCACTTCTGATCCAGCTCCCTGCTAAGGCCTGGGAAAGCAGTACAAGGTGGCCCAAGTGCTTGGGCCCCTGCACTCGCATGGGAGACCTACAAGAAGCTCCTGGCTCCTGGCTTTGGATCGGCCCAGTTCTGGCCATCTGCTAAGGCCTGGGAAAGCAGTGGAGGATGGCCCAAGTCCTTGGGCCCCTGCACCCACGTGGGAGACCCAGAGAAAGCTCCTGTCTCCTGGCTTTGGATCGGCCCAGTTGCGGCCATCTGGATGGAAGACCTCTCTCTGTATCTCTCCCTCTGTCTGTAACTCTGCCTTTCAAATAAATAAGTAAATCTTTAAAAAGAAAAAAAAAGGAAAGAAAATCCTTATCTCGAGTCTTCCTGCTCGGCCTTCATGCCCAAACCAGAACGAGATTTCCCCAGGAAACCTAGTCCCCAGGAAAAACACCACTCATGCCTTCCACCCCCATGGTTGGATGAGTTGAGCAGCAATTTTTACAACCGTGCACCTTGTCAGTGTCCAAACACTGGCCGTGAAGACGTGAGATACCGCATGACCCTGCAGAAATTTGAACAGAGGCATTAAGCATCGCACCACACAGTCCCTCGTCTTGCAACCCGCACTGATTCCCCGTGCGCTGTGCTGACGTTACGAACCAGAAACCCAAAGTAGAACAATGAAGCCACCACGCGCGAGGCCCGCCGGCGGCCGTGTGACTCCCGGTCTCCCGACTGCCCCCTCTCCTGCTGGCTCTTGAGTGTCATGGAGCCTGGCGCTGCCTACAGAAGGCAGGCCCTTCTGCTGAGGCTACAGGGTACCTGTCCGATCTGTCGAGGGGTTGTCGCTGAAGCCATTGTTGCCACGCTGCCTCTCTCAGCACTCCTGCTGAACAGTGTAAGAGAAGCAGCTGGCTGTATCCCCCCGCCCCACTCTGCTCTGGTGAGTGGCAGGGGTTGGAGAATGTTCTCTGTGGGAGACACGGATGGGGGTTCTCGCTGTGTTAGCAGAGCAGAGGGGACTTTATGATGGGGATGAAGGGATGCAGGCTTCCTCTCCCCTCCCCCCACCCCGAGTACTGATGGGAATGCGGTGTGGCTGAACAGAGCCAGATGAGGGTTACAACCCCTTGTAACAGTGCTGCAAGTGATTCACGATTTAATATGAAATCCTAAGGAAAAATATATGGCTGAGCCGGCGCCGCAGCTCACTAGGCTAATCCTCCGCCTTGCGGCTCCGGCACACCGGGTTCCAGTCCCGATCAGGGCACTGGATTCTGTCCCGGTTGCCCCTCTTCCAGGCCAGCTCTCTGCTGTGGCCCGGGAGTGCAGTGGAGGATGGCCCAAGTGCTTGGGCCCTGCACCCGCATGGGAGACCAGGAGGAAGCATCTGGCCCCTGGCTTCGGATCAGCGTGGTGCGCCGGCCGCGGTGGCCATTGGAGGGTGAACCAACGGCAAAGGAAGACCTTTCTCTCTGTCTCTCTCTCTCACTGTCCACTCTGCCTGTCAAAAAAACAATTTTATATATATATATATGGATGACCCGTGTGATCACTACTTGTCATCATTCTTCCTGCTTTGGATGTGACGTTTTCTATGTCAGTCAACGGTGTCACTTTTCCTGCACAGAGAACAGGTGTACAGGTGCAAAGGATGGCCTGACAGTTCCTTCCTCCCCTTTTTACCTATGCTCAGAACAGGAGTCACCCCTGCAGGCTACCACCAGAGGGCACTAGTTACCCAGCTTTTAACTTTTCAAATCTCCAGGTAGAAACCATCAATCCACAATGACTAAACATCGCGTTCAATTATAAACGATGGTCTTTGGTCTCTTGTTGGTAAGGCTTAACAGAAAACAGAAGATGTATCTGACAAATATTCTTCGAGTGCCTCTGTTTAAGAACTAGGCATAGAACTGAAATACACGTTTCTTTTGGTGCCCTGAAATATGAAATCTGTGTGTATGTGGGGTCTTCAAAAATGTCAGGAAAAAATGCATACTATGGAGAAAATGCATGGATGTATCCATTTTTTTGCACAGAAATACACTTATCTTTAAATTCCATTTCCATGAATTTTTTAAAGAACGCCTATATGTCCTAATGTCTATTTTGTAAACTTTAAATTTTATTCCAATTTCTTGAAAGGCATTTTCAAATTAGGCAATAACAGTCAGCAAATGGCAACATACTAAGTGGCAAGAAAAGCCAACTGGCTTCAGGCACATTGGCTGTGATAAGCTAGGTGTGGCTCCCAGTCTTAGCAGGAACACCCAATGTCCAATGGGGAATAAGACCCCCCTGGCTAATTGTGTACCTAGACACAAATTGAAAAGCATTGCCATCAGTGTGTGCATTGAAATTCTGGGACACATTTTGGCTAAACCATCTAGACAGGGTGACTTTGAAATGCGAAGCTGACGGATGGTTTTTGGTTCTACAGGGTGCTATTGTTCAAGTCCCGCCCATTTCCCCCAGTAGAAGGATAAAGCCAACTTCTTAAGTGAATAAAGAAAAAAAAAAAAACAGGACTCATCATTGGAGAGATTTTTTAAAATTAAGGTCTACCAGTACTTGTATTCTTTAGGCGAATAGATCGCTATTTCATACGGATAAATATGTCACTATTTCTAAAGTTTAAAATGCACCTGCCCCTTAATTTCTATTATGAAAATTTCAAATTATTTGATTAATAATGTTGACAAAGCATGCTGTTCATGAGCTATCTCGATGCAAGAGCTCACTCAAGTTCTAACGTGTGTGTTTTCCCCTAAATTATTAAGAACAACTAATTACACTGAGCAAATTAACAAGTTCAAGAAACTGGTTTACCTCTCAGCTAAACAGAAGGAATAATTGACATCATGCCCGCAATTGTTTTCTCATGACTGGCTAGATCATGGTCAGTTCCCCATCTCTTTGTGAAAACATAAATATTACGTCTTCTAAAATATTCCCCATAAGTAACAGAAGTGTTTTTAATTCACTGCCTACATCATATAATCCTGCCCCTTTATAATCACCTATTGATATTTTTGACTGCTATGAAACTCAATAGCTATGTCAACATTGTTACAAATGTAAGTAGGCAACAATCTGGTCTCTTCTCTTGCTCGCTCTCTCTCTCTCAGCCAGGAAAGTATTTTCATGATATTAGTCAGATTCATTCCTTTCTAGTATTTGATTCTCCCTTTTTAAACATTGATTTGAAATGTTAACAGGACGTTGGGGCCAGAAGACAATCAAGGTAAGCAGGCTGACTGGCAGCATTAAGGTCACGTGCCGCTGCACCCCCTTAATCAATGCTTCCACGGCGAGCGGGCAGGTCCCGGTTTCTGCAGCCCCGTGGGCCCAGTAAGGCTGACACATTTCCTGCTGGGCAACTCCTTGGCTAATGGCCACCGCTGTGTAACCCTGTGTGAGAGCAGCCAGTCCTTGTGGGCTGTGTTCTGGTCACCTAGGCTGCTGGTGCTGTCGCCGCTTTCCTGTAATCTACCAAGATTCTCTGCCCATTATCCTGCTAATTGACCTTCCTTATTGATTTATAGAAGCTGTTATTATATTAAAGATACTGACTTTACAGATGTCATCATTACTAATATTTGGTCCAATTGTTTATTTCCCTTTTGATGATGTTATTGCTTTTATTCAACATGTATGTTTATATTTCATTGTATTTACAGAAATCTGCTTCCAGTTTCCCTACACATGAGCTCTTTCAGTCTAAAGTTCACTCAAGCTTATTTTCTAGGCATTTCTTTAGTTACTGTGAGTGATCCAAGTTAGCAGAAGCCTAGTGAGAGAATGGCACAGGGTGGGACTGGGGCTTGCGTCGCCTAAGACTGCGTTCCTGTTTGGGGGGTGTGATGGCTCTCGGCGCATCATCCTGGCTAGCCTGATGATGGTTATTGAATCAAACAGTAATCCAGGTGCTGCCGTGAAGACGCTGGGCAAATACAGTTACGGTGGATTTATAATGTGACTCAGCGGATTTACATAAGGAAATTGTCCTGGTGAACCTGATTTCATCTGCTGAGAGTCTTCAAAAAGAGTTAAGGCTTTCCCAAGACCTGGAAAGAGAAAGTGAGAGCGAGAGCGAGAGAGAGAGAGAGAGAGAGAGGTGGGGAGAGGCTGATTCACCTGCACCGTGACCAGTAACTCTGGCCATGCCTGCGAGGCTCTCTCCTGACCCTCGTCATGCCCCCAAAGCCTGCCCTGTAGACACTGGATTTGCCTAGCCAACCCCAGCAATGACGTAAATCCTTGTAGTAAATCAATGCGTGTGTGGACGCACGTATGTAATGAGTCTGTGTTGTACATGTATGTAAAATACATCTCCATATGCAGAAATATATTAATTCACAAATATGTACAAGGGTACTTCAAAAAGTTTACAGAAAAAGGTAATTCGAAAATAAATGTACGTTGGTGCAAAAAGCACTTGAAATTCAGGCATGGTTTTTTTCTCACTATGCATTTTCTGTGAAGTTTTTGAAGACTCCTTGATGTGGCTGTAAATATGTGCACATATGTACAGACATATGTGTGTATGTGTGTGCAGGTCACATATGCACTACATCTGTGCATGTGTGTGTCTGTTTCACAAGCAGTCTCCCATTGACCAAGCTGCTTTGGTTGAAGTCTGAGTGATACACTTGGATATTACAGAATTTTTTTTAGTATTTTATTTATTTGAGAGGTAGTTATAGACAGTGAGAGAGAGAGACAGAGAGAAAGGTCCTCCATTCACTGGTTCACTCCCCAAATGGCCGCAATGGCTGGAGCTGCGCTTATCCAAAGCCCGAAGACAGGCGCCTCTTCCGGGTCTCCCACGTGGATGCAGAGGCCCAAGGACTTGAGCCATCCTCCACTGCTTTCCCAGGCCATAGCAAGAGCTGGACTGGAAGAGGAGCAGCCGGGACTAGAACGGGAGCCCATAGGATGCTGGCGCCACAGGCGGAGGATTAACCCACAGCACCACAGCACCAGCCCCTTGATACTACAGAATTAAGACAAGAATAGCATGCTGCATCTAATCTGTTCACAGTGAAATCCCACTGCTGGGACTGCACATGGGCTGGGGGCTGAGCTGGCACACGGGCTTCAGGCCATGCTAAGTAGCACGATCAATTAAAAAGTGGAGTGAGGGCCTGGCGCTGTGGCACAGAGAGTGAAAGCCCCAGCCTGCAGTGGGGGCATCCAACATGGGCACTGCTTTGAGTCCCGTCTGCTCCACTTCTGATCCAGCTCTCTGCTAATGTGCCTGGGAAAGCAGTGGGAGATGACATATCTGTCTCTCTCTCTCTTTCTGCCTTTGAAATAAATAAATTAAACATTTAAAGAAAAATAGGGGAAACAAACCCTTCTTTTCACTTTTCTGCAAAATTTGATCATACATCTAAATCTAGAAATCCATCAGACATCAACATTACTGCCTCAAAAAGAAAAACATTTTTCTGGGGCCAGCGCTGTAACGTAATGGGTTAAAGCCCTGGTCTGCAGTGCCAGTGTCCCATATGGGTGCCAGTTTGGGTCTCCGCTGCTCCACTTCCGATCTGGCTCTCTGCTGTGGCCTGGGAAAGCAGTAGAAGATGGCCCAAGTCCTTGGGCCCTGCACCCACATGGGAGACCTGGAGGAAGCTCCTGGCTCCTAGCTTCGGTTCAGCTCAGCTCCAGCCATTGTGGCCATCTGGGGAGTGAACCAGTGGATGGAAGGCCCCCCACCCCCACTCTGCCTCTGCCTCTCTGTAACCCTTCCTTTCAAATACATAAATAAATCTTTTAAAAAGAGAGAGAAACATTTTTCTAGTCCTCGAGTTCTATTCTTTTTTTATGTGTTATATTTAAACTACGTTTTTTTCCTGTTAGGTTGGAAATCTGCCAATAATGAAGCTATTAAAGAATATTAGATAGGGAGTTAGGGTAAACCAGCAGTCAGAATGGTGAACTCTGATTAATTCTGTGTTAGCCTCTCACAGTGATAATGAAGCCCTTGCTATCTGTCACCTCTCTAGCTCCCATCACAAGCACACATGGCCAGCCGCTCCTCACAGCATCATTTACACAATCCATTGCTTTCCCATGGCAACACGTGGCTCTGGCAACCCAAAGGTAAGCTGGCTGTCTCTGAAAAGATTTTCTGCGACCAGAGTGAGCCGCCACCATCACGCTGACGGAAAGGACTTCGCAGCCCCGCTGCAGCAGAGAGGGTGTGCGGACACGGATGCACGGGACTGCCACTCGACAGGGGGGACCCACAGGAAAAGCACAGGGTGCACCTCGAGCGCAGACGGCCCAGGACTGGCAGGTGTGCACGGCGGCTGCACACGGCAGAGGCGTGGAAGCAGAGTGGCGGGAGCGTGAACAAGAGACGCATACGCAGGGCAGACCAGACAGCTGGAGGCGCGGGGGACGAGTGCGGGTCAGTCCTACCACTTAGGGAGAGCGAGAGGGGACGCTTTAGCACCTTTTTGGAGCCAGGCTTTGGGAAGGAGTAAGATTTGATTCTGGAGATTATTCCACCCGCCGACCACGCCTAGAAACCATAACGGCAAAGAGGAACAGTCAATTTAGTCTCAGAAAACAAACACAGGGTCCCTCCTGTGACATGACATCGTAACCTGCTTCTGTATCGCACCACCAGCCCCTCCCCACCCTACAAAGAGATGTGTCATGGGCAAAGCCTGGTCATTTGGAATGCTTCCAGAAAACCTTGCTACTGGGGCAGAGGGACCTAGAAAAACATTAGGGAAATATTGGCCATGGAAGGGCTACCCAATAAAAGCTACAGCAGTCAGCAGCTGGTGTTACCTGCACATCATTCATTCCTAAGCTGAAGGCAACCACTCTCCCAAAGCTTCAGCCACACTTGAATGCTCAAGTGTACTGCATTGCTTCCAAGGTGTTTGTGGAAATTTGCTGAGTAGCACACGTGGGGCATCTGCCATTTTTCTGCATGTGTTTTAGCATTCAATAAAAATGTATTCCAAAGTATTTAACTTCTTGAAGCGACTGGGCGATGCCTGGTTAAATATGGGGCTTGATCATCTTAAGGTTTTAAGCCCTAACCCTTCTTCCATCTCAAAGGAAAAGGGGTCTGCTCCATGGAGTACAGAATATTAATATTCGGCTGCCAGGCCCATGAGTGCTGTCAAGGGTAAAATGAAGAGCCAGCTCTGCAAGGACCCTGCGTTTTAGATGCTGGATCCAAAGTTCACTGGTATTTCAGCAAGTCCAAGTGCCCCAGTCGGAGGACAAGTGACTGCCCCTGCATGGGCACCCCTGCCCCGCCAGCTTCAAGGTGGACTCATTCCTACAGGAGGCAGATGTAGATTTGAGTTTCTGTGGATTTTGTCTGTCAGGGCTCCGCAGGCAAAAAGTCAGGTGAAGATGGCATTAAAGGCATTGCCAAGTCCACACTGACGCAGGAAACGCATTCCTGCTTTGAGTATAAATCCACACTTCAGCTCTAAGAGTCTGCAGGGAGAGGAAAAAAGGCTTCTCCCCCTGCACGGGCATCAGCCACGCCACGAGAAAAGCCCGTGGAGGTGTGCACAGGCCACATTCTCACTGGTGCAGATTGGGAGGGGAGCCCTGGCCAAGCCTGCCCTACTCCATCCGTCTCGGTGGGCTTCTCTTATCTCATCCCAGGAAGCCTTCCACCAACCTTTAGTTGAACCAATTCATGCAGACAGGCCAAGTCCCCTGGGAGCAACGTGGCATCTGATCCGACCCAAAGAACAGGGCCAACAACCTCGGGGAGACATCTTGTCTACCAGCCATGTAATACTGACCATACACGTGGCCCGTGGGTGACACACATCTGTTGTCAGCGGTGGCTCATCAGATCTAGTGGGGGGCCTTTTCTGACTTACATTAGCTTTCATGTTCATTTTAGAAAATGGGGAGAAGCCAAGAAATTCACACAACTTGGCAGCTTTAACAGTGCCCTGATGTCCACCTAACACCCACTAGACGCCCCAAGTCAGCAAGGGGCTTGTTTGCCTACTACTCCCGTTACTTTTCAACTGTGTTAGCAATGGCTTCACCTGCAGATTATTTCTAATAACACTTACCGCAGGATGGGAGCTTGGAAGTGTGGGCGAGCATCAAAATTAACATTTCTGATTAGAAAGAGCATGGACAATTATTGCAATAGCAAGGAACCACCTCCTTACAGATCAAGCAGTGTGACTGACATGGCTGCTCAAGAAATAGATACACTGTCTGCCAGCTTCCCTCCCATCTCTTTCAATACCTTTTGCATACATGCAATTAACATGAATTCATTTTTCATTTAATTTTTGGCTATTTTTGCATCCCCGAGAAACTAAAATTGGAGCGACCGGATATCATGTTTAATCCATCAGTAAAAATCAGAACTCATCCAACCTGAATTTGCAACAGGCCCAAATCTACAATGAGTGGACAGTGACCAATGTGCAAAAGGCCGAAACTCCCGTGACTTAGCAACTCACCCATCTGCGTGCCAATTTTTTGACATGGAACCGTAAGGACTCGTAACAAACCATCGGGTTTGTAAGAATAATGCTCCACCAGCTGGAAGTAAGCAAGAAAGCGCAGTGAGTACGAGGGCAGGACATTGAGCATCGGGCCTGAGAGCCGCTGACTGCCCCTTGGGCCTTCTGCGGTGACTGGAGCCCTCTTGAGTCTGCGGTGTCCAGAAATCCCACTCTACCAGCATGGCCAGAGGTGGATGCACACCAAGGGTTTCCACTCTTGGGCAGGAGTCAGCAATCGTTTCGTAGAGGGCCAGTGTGTGCTAGGTTAGGCTTCTGTGGGCCACACACCTCATCCTTTACCCAGTTATTTCTCATCAGCATAGAAACCATTGTCTCCACGGACTACACAGGACATGCTGGGAGCCAGGTTTGCTCTGTGGCTCGCAGACCCTGATGGAAAGGAAAGAGTATTTAAGTAGGCTAAGTGCAGCAATGGCCGGCGCCCAGCACAACAGGACTAGGGCCCTGGAGTCACCGCAGGGTATGCAGGTACCTTACAGTGCTGGCAAGAAAAGCCAACGAAATCCTACACATGACAATGGACAGTATGGCGGGCATTTCTGATTTACCTTCCTGAACACAGCGGCCAGGAAATACTCAACAAGGAACACTTAGGGAGGGCAGAATACTACAACAGACCAGCGGAATCGGTAAAAATAGAGAGGCCTCCCGGGAAGGAGCTATCCACAATCAGAGGTTGCTTGACACAAAGGAAGTGCACAGCCCTGGGAGTGGTGAGTGGATGCCACACAAGCAAACAGTTCGTGTGGGAAAGGTCGAATCCTGTATGAGGGCCAGCCCCGGTGCCCAGGAAGGCCAGCCTTGTTTCCTAGGTTCCCTTAATCTCCACCAAGAGAGACTTGCTTTGCCTGAGGATGGTACCAGCCATTGACAGCCCACTAGAACATCCCCCAGGTCCAAGAACTGGCTGCTGTATGCCTGCTTCCCTGGCCAGCCATGCCTTGTTTGTGTACATTTGCCAGAAAGGCTGGTCCAGTTACAATGTGTCCTAGCACCCGAAGGCCTGTGGTTATACCCTGGAAGGGTCTGTGGTTATGCCCTGGACAATCATCATCACGCAGAGACCTGTGTGGCCCTGGACAGGCATCAGAACCTTGCAGAGCCCGGTGCACCTGACACGATGGTCCCCAGGTCCCCAGACAAGTGCTTCTCTGCCATATGAGTCACCTGAGGCTGGAACATAGGCTCTGGTACAGCAGATGGGGCAAAGCCTGGGGGTGTGTTTCTAACAAGCAGGGGCTGCTGCTGGTCTGGGGGCCACCCGGTGGACAGTGGGCAGCCCAGGCCTGCTCATTTCTGTCTCTGGGACATGTCTCTGTGCTCCGCCCCTGAGGACCGGGGAGGGGCCAAGCTGTACCTGCCAGAGTGTGTCAAACTTCTTCCCCTCTGGGATGGAGAGCTTCCCGGTCTTGTCTTTGTCGATGCGGTAGTGCAGCACCTTCCCCCTCGTGCAGCAGGCACAGCGCGTAGGAGCCATTGTTGTCTCTGGCCCTGATCCTGCAAGAGAGGATACCACTCTATCAGTCCCACCCAACCAGCTCCAGGCACACCCTGATTGGTGTGGGCAGTGGGCACTCTCCATGAAACGCCAGTGGGGAGAGAGAGCTGTGGGCAGCAGAACCCAGCCTCAAGGTCAAGGGCTCTGCCCAACATACCCAGGAAGGCCTGGCTTACAGCCCAAGGATGATGTCAGTGGGCTGGCAACAAGGGAATGGTAGCAGGGTGAGGATGCACCATGCTAGGCTCCAGCAGGGCCTGGGGAGCCAGGGGCTCAATCAGGAGAACTGGGGCGGGAGGTTGTATGGGCAGTCACACAACCCAGGTACGAGCTCACATGATGCTTGTAAAGGACTCACCTCCTTTCCCCCACTGAGGTCTGTGTTCAGGTCAGATCCACAGATGGTACAGGGGTGCCTGATGGACATTTTAACTGGAAAGGGTCCAAGACCACAGATGGAGAGTTGGGAAGCCCTCCGTCCCCCAGTGCCTCCCTCACCCCTCCCACCTGCCCACTGCTGGGAGGGGAGGTACCAGGCAGTAAGCAACATGTGCCCATGCACCATTCTCAGGCTGTACAGCACCCTGTCCCCAGCTGCCAGGGGGCGTCTATGGGTGTTGCCAGGGGGAGATTTCTGATGCCCCCTCTGGCTTGCAGGAGGTCACATCCAAGGCCACACGAGAACTGATACAGGGGACACTTGTGGGTGTTACTGGGGGATTTCTGAAGCCTTCTCTGGGTTGCAAGCCACCAGGAGAGCTGAGATAGGTTTTGGAGCCACCTGTGGCCTCACTTTCCCCCTGCTGGGCAGAGAAGGGCCATGTAGAGGTTTGAAAGCCGGATGATGCCACAGGGGATGGAAACCTCAAAAATAAACTTGTTTTCAAGTGCACAGTGGACAGCGTGCCTCCACGCCCTGCTGCTCGGAGGACATACCCCAGTCCCTTCCTACCTCGGCCGGAGCTATTCTGACATTTTGCTGCTGTAAAGACAGTCCCCTGGCTGCCAACCAGCCGAGCCATCAGCACCATAAAGTGTGGGCTCCCTTTTCACGGTCACATGGCCAATTCGAGGCAGGAGCTGGTTTCTGTTCAACCAAGCAAACCAAGAAAAAGAACCACGCACAGATGCAGGGGTAGCTGCATCTCGCTCAGGGCAGCTGCTTCACACTGCGGCACGGTTTGTGCCTGTTTTGCTTATTTTGTAAACATCAGTGGCTCACAGACAGGAGCGTTTGGAAATACAGAGAATTATGCAGAGAGACCAAAGCCCAAAGGTGGACTTGCCTGCCTGCAAACATTGGCCATGGGAGGAAGATGACCAGAGGCCACCCATATACACATTGAGAGCCCAAGAGAAATCCCCTGGCACAATCTTCACCTGGCAAAAGTGAAAATGATGGAAAATGTCAAGTGCTGCTGAGACCAGGGAGCAGCGGGAGGTTCCCATGTGCAGTCACTGGGCGCATCAGGCAGTTTAAACCACTTTGGAAATACTTACAATGACCTTCTGTACACGGAAGCTATGCATACCCGTGGGGCTTAGCAAATTCACTCCCAAGCATAGGAGCTGCGTGCACAGTGCCCCCAGCCGAGGTGCCGGGGTGTTCATGCCAGCTTTATCTGCACTTGCCAAAATCTTCACAACCTACATACTTGTTGACCACAGAGGGAATAAATACATCAGATGATAAACTTAGCCGTGCAATAAAATATGATCAAGCAAAAAAGTGAACACACGCAGGCTTGTCAAGACAGCTGAGTCACACGAGCATAAAATACACTCCCCAATTCCATACGCACAAAGTTCCCTCACAGACAGAAGCCAACAGTTTTGTTTGGAGTTGCCCATCTAGCCAGGGCACACTCAACCCCAGGGCCCGGGATGTGGGACCTCTCAGAGGGGGCAGGTGGATGGTGTAGAGGAGTGTGTGTGTGTGTTGTGTCTGTGTGTGGAGGGGGGTTGTCTCCTGCAGCCCTGGCTCCGGTTTATTTCTTGATTAAGGTGGTGTTGGCTTGAGAATTCTTCCTTAAGTTGTACCTCTATAGTTATGGCCTCATGTGTGCTTTGCAGTTCACAGTACAAATAGTATAAAGCAGAGCTGGGGGCAAGTGTTTGGCTTAAGGGTTTAGATGCCCGTTAGGATGCCCATATCCCATACCAGAGTACCTGAGTTCAATACCCAGAGCTCCACTCCTGACTCCAGTGACCGGGCCCCTGCCAGCTGTGTGGAAGACCTGGATCCACTTCCTAGCTCCCTACTTCAGCCCGGTCCAGCCCTGGACGGGGAAGACATTTGGGAAGTAAACTGCTTATGGGAGCTTTCTGTCTGCCTCTCAAATAAATTATATATATATATATATAAACAGCTGGTCAAGGAGGGAAACAAAGAAGTTAGAGAAGACCTTGCCCTTGGACAAGCGACACCTGCAAGTGTCCCACTCCCCGAGGCTGGCCGAGGGAATGCAGCAGCCCTACAGGGGATTCCCACCGGGCAGCCTGTGCAAGCTCCCAGCGTAACCAGCAGGTACCGCACACCCGTGGACCAACGGCCTGAGCAGGCCCTCTGGCAGCTGGCAGGAAATGGGGGAGCAGAAGGGAAACCACAGGCCCAGCATCTGTAGGTGGCAAAGACCAGAAGGCTCAGCGGCTTCAACGGCCAACTGTGAGGTATCTGTTGGCTGCAGGCAGATCCTGGGCGGGGCTCTCGCTCTTGTGACGTGGGAGAAAAACTGGGTTGGCAGCTGCAGGCTGGCCACCTCCTGATGATGAGAAGTCTCCCTTGGCAGGGGCACACCCACCCAGTTTGGATGAGAGCAAGGGCAAGCTTCCCTATTCCTGTCTATTGGGATTCAGTTGGCTCCAGGCTGTTCACGGTACCCTTGAATATTTGCTGAACAAGATTAAGCTATGAGATGTGTGTTTGGTTGGTACAAAGCCTGGGATTTCTGAGACTTGACCTTGAGGTCATGCCAAAGGACCATGCTTGGCCTCTTGCAGCCTGGCCACTCCTCGGGCTGTGTTGGGCAGGCCTCATTACTGCAACTGTGAGAGCAGCAGGAGCGTTAATTCTGCTGGGGCACCGCCTGGAAGAACGGAAAACCCTTCACCACCCCTTTGTGCCGTCTGGGGGTGGGATCACGAGTGCTGGGACGCCGGGCACCGGGGTGGGGTGGGGTGGGGAAGTGAGACCCCAGTGGCTGGGAGATGCTTGAGGCAGCCTGCCATGGCTCCTGGGACATGGGCTGTGTCTGCCGTGGGAGCCCATGCCAGCCCATGAGGCTTTCCCATTATTCCCTTCTGCTTCTCCATGGCAGGTATAGTGCCACGGGTAGGACATCCGTCTCACGGTGCACTGTGATAATGTGGCAGTGGGCCTGACGATGCAGGCAGCTCCTAGTGACCAAAGGGGGGTGGCACGTACAGCGTGGATACACTGGACGTGGAACGACCATGTCCTGGGCAGCTGGGAGACCTGATGTGAGAGTCCATGTACACTGCTCAGAGTAGGGTACAGTTTGTACCGTGTGAATGGTCTATTTCTGGAATTTTCCATAATTTTCAGACTTTAGCTGGCCGGGCTAGCTAAAGCCATGGAAAGTGAAACCATGGATGGGTGGGGGCTGCTGTTGTGGCCCCATTTCATTATTGAGTAAACTGAGTATCAAGGGAAGAAACTTAAGTTGTCTGGCTCCCAGTGCTCCCATGGGGCAAGGCAGATGTAACAGAGGATACACCTGTCTCAAGCAGTCAACTCCCACAGCGACTGTGCTGCTGCAGGGACACAACCCAGCTGCCAAGTGGGTGACGCCTGGAGACGTCCAGGTGTCACGCTCTTCATGCAGCCAGGTAGGCATCAGGCACCTCAAGCAGGCTCCCAAGGCCAGCAGCAAAGGGCATCATGTGAGACTTGTTGGAAATGCAAACTGTGGACCCTAACCCCGGTCTCGTACCTAAAAACAAGGGTGTGAGGGTTGCCGGTGTTGTGGCATAGAGGTTTGTGTCCCAGCTGCTCCACTTCTGATCCAGCTTCCTGCTAATGGCCTGGGGGAAGCAGTGCAGGATGGCCCAAGTGCTTGGGCCCTGCACCTGCATGGGAGACCAGGAGGAAGCGCCTGGTTCCTGGCTTCGGCGGCCATTTTGGGGGTGAACCAATGGAAAAGGAAGACCTTTCTCTCTGTCTCTCTCTTTCTCAATGTCTAACTCTGCCTGTCAAAAAAAAGGGGGGGGGGAATACGCAATTGTCTGTACATAGGAGCTGTCACAGTTCTCCAAGCAATGGGCCATTTTGTGAATCTGATTTTTTCACAGCTATTTTATACTCAGATTGTCACTGAAAAGGGTGAGGGATGCCCATTTCCCAAGAGAGTTGCCTGCCCACCACCCAGGCCTCATGGTGAGCAGGAGACAGGGAGGGCATGGGCAATGACAAGGTTGTCATGATAGCGAAGGGTGATGGCTGTCACATCTGCTGTCCCGCGCCAGGGCCACCAGGTCCACTCCTGGACAAGGTCCACATGGGTCTGACTTGTATGTCCCTGGTTGTGGGTGGACACAACTGTTCTTAGAAAGCCAGAGCCACCAAACCATCTAATCCCCAGTTCTACCAAATGGTATAGACCCCTCTGGGCCACTCATTCTGATGCTCACTGGTTGATCCTGCAGGGCCTCCCATGGGGCCCTGACCTTGAGGCATGAATCTATGTGTGTGTGCATGCATGTTTATGTGTGTTCATGCATGTGTGTGCACACATGTTTTTGTGTGTGCATGTTTGTGCACCTGCGTGCATATTTGTGTAGATGTATGTTTTGTGTGTTTGTGTACATGCATGTTTTGTGTTTGTGTCTCCGCGTGAATATTGTGTACATGCATGTTTTGTGTTTGTGTGTCTCTGTGTGCATATTTGTGTAGATGTATGTTTTGTGTGTTTGTGTACATGCATGTTTTGTGTTTGTGTGTCTCTGCGTGTGTGTTTATGTGCGGCAATTGTTGTGCACATGTTTGTGCGTGTAGCATGTTTTGTGGTTTTCTGTGTGTATGTTTGTGTGTGCACATGTGTTGTGTTTGGTGTCTGTGTGCATGTTTGTGCATGCTGTGTTGTGTGTGCATGTTGTGTGTGTGCATGTGTGTGCGTGTCTGTGTGTAAG